TCTGCATTAAATTTGTAACGAGAGAGCAATCGACTAACATTTTCCAAACAAAGTTTGAGGCAATGCCATTACCTCTACAACAGCAATCACGATGTTCAAATGCAGTGCAGTGCAATGCAGTTGTCTCCCCATCATAGTTGCCTAGCACAAATCGTACTTCACCGATTGTCAGCAACAGTTTCCCCTATCTGAATAGTTTACGAATAAAAAAACAAGTTTTTTTTTGATTTTGGTTATGAAAGGATAGAAATTTACAAAAGTCAGCTGCTACTACTAAACAGGGACCAATGCAGTCAGTTCCTCATCTCCATCGTGGTAGTTGTCGCCAAAGCCGTTCATCTTAATACCTGCTGTCTCAGTGATACGCTATTATGATAGAGCACCATTTTAATGTAGCTAATTATCAAGGATGGCATATAGAAGTAAAGGTAATTGGAAATAACCTTACAATGAGAGATTGCCTTTATTATCAATTAATCAAAACAAGCACATCTACCATTCACCCGATCGCAGTGAGCCTAAATGGATCCTCTCAAGTTAGTTTTACGGCTGACCGTGAGACAAACAAACGCCAGTGTCTTGAAGTTTTAGAAGTTTTTATTTGATGAAAATTAGCAAATTGCCTATCCGACCTCCGAAAAGGAATAGCTAGTGGGATGGAAATGCGTCATATATGTTGATGTGTACGATAAGCTCATGGTCGATACCTTCTTCCTCCTCACACCTCTACTGTTGATCTGGCTATCTGACGTCGGGAATGCCTCTTTTCCTGTCGCGCCTCCATCTTCATCGCCGCTTTCTCAGTAGATCCTGGAAATGGAGACGCTAATGGTTATGATGCAGAGGGAAAGAGGGAGGAGAAGTGGGAGGAGGAATGTCCTATTAAATGAGCAAAGCAGTGGGAACAACTATCCGAACTCTATGAAGTATGTTGATATACTATTCCCTTTCAGGGGTTTATCATTCCTGACGTGAATATCTGAATATCATTTATGAGGCTTGGGGACAAAAAGCCCTCCTTTACTTCTTACTGCTGGGTGGTTTGTCAAGTGTTGCTAAATCGCATAACTTCGTTAAATCTAACTGACCATCATCTCATGCGGTGGAGTTGTCAGTAGTAGCAATCTAAGGAGTAAAATGACTTCATTGCAGCTCTTATTCTTTTAGACATGTCTGTCTGAGAAAAGTATTTTGGGGTCATAAAACATGTCAAGGTTGACAGTAAGGGGTCGGAAGCACACGTTTTGACAGCTAATTCACCACTTAATGACTCAAAATCGAAAAGTTAGGTGATGGTAGATGCAGCTGAGAGACATGTGATATGGCCTGTAGCATACGACAGAGTGGAAGGCAAAGCAGATCCTTTCTGTTTTGACGACCAAAAGTCTCATGAAGATGACAGATTCTACGAAAGATCTTCCCTTGTTATAGCTTTGCTTCTAGGCACCTATCACGCTCTATTTTCACCGGTGCGGTGGAGCACAACAAACCATGTTTGACAATGCGACTGAAACCACGAAGTTGAGTAGATTAAAAGCATCCCCAAGCACAGGCGCCTCTTAGCCAACACATCTGTCAAGTGTATTTACACCGTGTGTCCCTCCCCCCTCTCTTAAAGAAGTTGATAAGTTAGTGCAGATAGACAACTGGGCTGCGTCATGCAGCGAGTGAACC